CGAACCCAGCAGCGGGTCTGGGAGGGAGAAGGGACTGGAGTGGGCCTCGCCTCTCCGAGGGATGGAGGGGACGGAGGCGGCGGCGGCCAAACCCGCGGGCGGCAGCCCCCAGTGAGTATGGAGGAAGCGGCGCCGGGCCTGCCGGGCGGGGGCGGCGGACCCGAGGGGCGGCGGAGCGGGGAACCCGGGTCGCCCTGGCCGCTGGGAAGCGGGCCTCCCAAGGGCTCAGAGCTGGAGGGTCGTGGGGAGGCCCGCCCTTCACGTCCATCTTCGTTTGGCCTCTCTGAGTTAGAGGAAATACATCACAGAGCTTGGGCCACAGAACCAGGCGGCTCTGAGCTGACCGATCTTCCCGAAAGCCCGTGCCAATGGGACCCCAGTGGGAGGGTCTCATTCTTTAAGGTCTCTGGGATGCTGTGCCAGAGTTTACCCATTAACAATTCTTACTTTTATTTTTTGGAGCCAGGGTCTCGCTCTGTCGCCCAGGCTGGAGTGCGGTGGTGCGATCACGGCTCACTGCAACCTCGACCTACTGGGCTCAAGCCATCCTCCGGCTTTAGCCTCCCAAAAGCAAAAAGTTCTTTTAACTTAGTAGAAAATGCTCATATCACATTCTAATCCCCTGTTTTCTGGATTGGACTTGAGAGAAGGAGGTGCAAAGAGAAACTTGCTGCATTCTCTATTAACTCATAGAACAAATTATTTCTGTCTTCCTAAAGATAATCCTTAAACTTTACTGGCTTAAAACTGATGTGACATTTTGCATTATATGTATATTTTGCTTTATAAAATATGTGCATTCCTGAAAGCTTGTGTATAAATTGAATTGTAATAAATGACTACAGAAGGACTTGCCATTTAAGAGAAATTTATGGTGACCCCTTGGTCAGTGTTATGAAGTGGATAACTCACAATTTGTAGTTTATATACATATGGATTTTTATACATGAAGCTTACTTCAAGTGGGGCACATCTAGATATATGATATTAAAGTTGCATTTTCTCAAAAGGTATAATAAATATTAAGACGCTTAATGGCATGTAGGTATGCATGCAACACCCTGAGTCAAATCCCTGCTAACCTTCATTCCTTGTGAAGGGGTAAACTCAGGCATGCTGCTAAGGATCTGTGCAATGCTGGCAAGTCACACAGCCTCTGGGATGGAACATTCTCATGTATGAAATAAGGGGAGTGGGGTTAAGTGATCACTACATGGTTTGGAAAAGGCCTTGGCTTGGAATGAGAAGCTTTGGATTCTGAACTGGTGTGTGTTGTAATCCATGCCTCAGTTTCTCCATCTGTAGAAGCATAATAAAGCCATTTTGTTTTGAGATGGAGTCTTTCTGTTGCCCAGGCTAAAGTGCAGTGATGGGATCTCAGCTCACTGTAACCTCCACCTCCCAGATTCAAGTAATTCTCCTGTCTCTGCCTCCCAAGTAGCTGGGACTACAGGTGCCCACCACCACGCCCAGCTAATTTTTTGTATTTTTTTTTTTTTTGAGGCGGAGTTTCACTCTTGTTACCCAGGCTGGAGTGCAATGGTGCGATCTCGGCTCCCCGCAACCTCCGCCTCCTGGGTTCAAGCAATTCTCCTGCCTCAGCCTCCTGAGTAACTGGGATTACAGGCATGTGCCACCATGCCCAGCTAATTTTTTGTATTTTTAGTGGAGACGGGGTTTCACCATGTTGACCAGGATGGTCTCGATCTCTCGACCTCGTGATCCACCCGCCTCGGCCTCCCAAAGTGCTGGGATTACAGGTTTGAGCCACCGCGCCCGGCCTAATTTTTTGTATTTTTAATGGTGGGGTTTCACCGTGTTGGCCAGGCTGGTCTTGAACTCCTGACCTCAAGTGATCCACCTGCCTCGGCCTCTCAAAGTGCTGGGATTACAGGTGTGAGCCACCGTGCCCGGTCAATAATGCCATTCTGTCAGAGTTATAACAGGATTCTTGGCAGTGAGCAAGTTTGAAAGCACTTACAGTCCTGCCTGGCATACAGCAGACGCCTGATTGGTGTTCGAGACTGATCATGGTCTCCCTTTGAGCACAACCCCGAGCTGTGGTCCTGTGGCTTGTTCATCAGGGGTCAGGGTGAGGTTGGGTGCAGCACCTTCTACCAGAGGGTCAGAACCTGCTTGGTGTCTTCCTGATGTCCATCATCCTCATATGCTCCCCTTGGAGAGGAAAGAGCATGTTTCCTGTTAGCAGAGTTAGCAGATGTGGGCATCCTCCACTGAAACTACTCTTCAGCAAAGCAAGAGGCCAGGGATTGGGAAATCACCCTGGTTTTCACTCTGGTCCACGTTTGGCATAGGATTAGTTGTCCTTTGAAGCTTCATTTTGCCTATCTGTAAAACAAGGATAGAAAAACCAGAACACTGCTCAGACTTGGAAGAAAAAAATTCAGCAATCACTTATTTGTACTCTTCAATGATTTGCGTTTTTTTTAAAGAAGAGTTTTCATATCATCTATGGCAGGGATTCCCAACACCCAGGCCATGAACCAATGGTGGTCCACAGACCACAGCAGTCCGTAGCCTGTTAGGAACCAGGCCACACAGCAGGAGGTGAGTGGCGGGCGAGCAAGTGAGCAATACCGCCTGAGCTCTGCCTCCTGTCAGATCAGTGGCGGCATTCGATTTTCATAGGAGCGTGAATTTTGTTGTGAACTGCGCATGTGAGGGAGCTAGGGTGCAAGCTCCTTATGAGAATCTAATGCCTCATGATATGAAGTGGAACAGTTTCATCCCAAAACCATTCCACCCCAGCCTACCCCATCCATGGAAAAATTGTTTTCCATGAAACCAGTCCCTGGTGCCAAAAAGGTTGGGGACCACTGGTCTAGAGGGTGTCCTCTGCTCTGTCTCCAAGTTACTCTCATCTGGACAGGACTCAACACCAAGACACTGGGGCACGAGAGGTTGTGGGGGTTAGTCCTGTGCTGGGTCTCAGGAGCTCTGTCTGTTTTCTCCTCCAGAGGGCCCAAGACAGGGAGTGGAGCAGCCAGGCCCATGGAGAGGATCTCGGCTGTGGAGTGGAGTGGTCCTGAGCCACAACGGGATAATGGACACCCTCCAAGACCCTGGCCTTGCCCTCAGGAAAGCAGAACCTCCAGCCTGATGGCTCCCCAGCCTCCCAGGGTATGGGGGACACAGCTCCAAGGCCCCTCTGTGCTGGAATCCAAGGTGAGGGCTTTGAAGGAGAAGATGACAGGGGGCAAACAGGGAGTCAGTCCCTGTCCCACTTCCCACGAGTGGTCATCCCCCAAGAAACCCAAATGCAGACAAGGCAAGGCAGGGGGAGCCCGGACTCCGTCAGAGGGGTCTTTCCTGCCAGGTGCTGTGGTGGCTCCTCATACCCAGAACCTGCCTGATGGGCAGCTGGACAGCGGTGTCAGTGAGGAGGAACCCGCCAGGGATGGGGACCCCAGGCCTCCCAGGCCACCTGGCCCTGGGCGTGAGTACTGCAACAGGAGGAGCCCGTGGCCTCCAGAGGCCGAATGGACACTGCCCGACCATGAGAGAGGTCCGCTGCCGGGGCCCAGCTCTTTGCAACAGAGCCCCATCCATGGAGTTACTCCTGGACAATCCGGGGGTCCTGGTCTTTGTAACAGAACCATCCACATTCCCAGCCCAAGGACAGGAAGGTCCTACCCTTTTCCAGATGACGTGGTCACAGAGGGAGATCTGGACAGCACATCCCTGACCTCCGAGGAGGACTTTGCCCCCAGGACAGCCCTTCTGGGGGAGCTCTGGAGAGCTGGAGACCTGCAGACTCTGGGCGCTGGGAGCAGCACCTTGTCCCTGTCTGACCGGGTGGAGAGGAACCGCCTGTTGCTGCAGGAGATGCTCAGTGTTGCTGGGCAGAGCCCCCACAAGGTGGAAACCCCCGCCTGGACTCCATCCTGGGACACAGCTGCACCAGGTGAAGTGTACTGTGTAGGTCCAGGTGGTGGGGAGAGCAGGAAGGAGTCCAGAGGGAGGAAAGGGGGAGGAGGGGGTCCCACAGAGGGAGTGGGACATGAAAGGAGAGAGAGCGTGACAGGTGCCTGCCACCAAAATCATCAGGATAGCCTCTTATTCTTGGTGATATAGATTCTTTGCCACCTCACAGGCAGCCTGTCTGCTGAAGACCCGCATGATCTTGCACTCCAATGGGAGGCCACCCTGTGTGCCTGGGGTTAGAGGCCACCATGATGTCTTCCTTGTGGCTTGGATTCCTTTCCAGAGTGGCTTTTTGCCTCTCCCTCTAGTGACATGCCATCACCCCTAGTGAGGGCCCTCTTGTGGGGCAAGTAGACAGGAACCCCTTCCTAAAAGGAGGCTGGGTGTTCTAGCAGCTGGGCTGAGCTCAGACAGTAGCACCAATGGGATGTACAAATGTCCAGGCCCGAGAGGACAGCCTCTTTCCGTTCCTGCCTTCTCATCCCAAAATTTCACAAGTTCATTCATTACCCCATGCCTGGGCCGATGCACGTGGTTCTCTCAGCATGTGGCGGCCACAGCAGTCCTCATGACAAGCTCGGCCTCCAATTTTCAGGCAAGGTATTGGATTTGTCCTGGGAGTAAATTGCTTCAGGAGACAACCTTCTCAGTGTTCACTAAATGGCAGCTGAGAGCCCTGTTTCTGGCTCTGCCCTGATCTCTGCTTCTGCTCTGGATCCTAGAGCGACCCATGGGGGATGTGGACTGGGACTCAGCCATCTCCCTGCAGGACTCCGGCCAGAACAGGTAAGAGCTCAGAGCCCACATGTTCTCTCCCTCCCTCCTCACCACAGTCCCTCTATTTACTCAGCATCAGGACAGTAGGAGACCTCCCAAAATGAGAGTTCAGGCAGATGGCAGACTCCTGTACCAGCAGACCAGTGGGCATCATCCTCCCTGAGACCCTGTAGAAAGTGCCAGCAACCCCCATCCCCCAGGGCGGTGCCTGTCTGCTACTTGAGCAAAACCACCAGAAAACAAAGTGCATTGCTAACTACCTGTTTCATGTCCATGGAGCCATTTCCCTTGCCCAGGCCTCTTTCTCCTTTTTTTGAGATGGAGTCTTACTCTGTTACCCAGGCTGGAGCGCAGTGGTATGATCTCAGCTCACCACAACCTCTGCCTCCCAGGTTCAAGTGCTTCTCCTGCCTCAGCCTCCCGAGTAGCTGGGACTACAGACATGTGCCACCATGCCTGGCTATCTTTTTGTATTTTTAGTAGAGACTGGATTTTACTATGTTGGCCAGACTGGTCTGGAACTCCTCACCTTGTGATCCATCTGCCTCGGCCTCCCAAAGTGCTGGGATTACAGGTGTGAGCCACTGCCACCGGTCAGGCCTCTTTATCTTTAAAGTTGGGGAAATAGCATCTGTCTGGTTCACTTCACAGGACCATTGTGAGGCCAAGGTGAGATCATGGATGTGAAAATCCCTGGGGAAAGAATACAAAGGCTTACCCCAATTCCATTCCCAGTCAAGGGGTTGTGCTGGGATCATGTCAAGGATTTCACCTCCAGCCTTACCGTGCTATCCCACGGCCTTCGCTCCAGCCCCTCCAACAAATATTTGGGGGAAGCAGGACCCACTGAGGTGTAGCAGGGGAAGTGGGGCAGTGTCCTGAGCCAGGCAGGGTGAGAAGAGTACACTCGAGGTGGGAGTGGGGCCATGTGCAGGCCTGAACTGCAGCCGGCACCTGCACACAGGTTGAACCCCGCCTCGGTCTTTGCCAGGCTCCTGGTCCATGAGGCTGAGACGTTATGGAGCTCTCATTTCCCCAGCTGTCTGGTGCTGTCAGCCTCCGTGAGGTCTTGTGGTTTCTGCGGAGGGCAGAGGTCCACACCGTTGCTCCTCTGGTGTAAGGCAGCTCCTGCACAAATCCTACTTGGTTAGGACAACCCTCCAAAAAACGTGGATGGACCTCTGTCTTAGTCTACTTGGGCTGCTATAACAAAAACCTATACAGGCTGGGTGGCTTATAACAACAGAAATGTATTGCTCACAGTTCCGGAGGCTGTGAAGTCCAAGATCAAGGAACGAGCAGATTCAGGTCCGGAGGGGGCTGCGTTTGGCTGATTCATAGATGGTGCCTTCTTGCTGTGTCTTCAGGTGGAGCAAGGGGCAAGGCAGCCCTCTGGGGCTTCTTTTCTAAGGGCACTAATCCCATTTATGAGGGCTGTGCCCCATGACCTGCTCACCTCCCAAAGCCCCACCTTCTAACACCCTCATATTGGGGATTAGGTTTCAACATAGGAATCTCCAGGGGACACAAAACACTGAGTCCACTGCCGTCCCCCAGCCCCGCACCTGCCTTAAGCAAGCGAAGGCAGCCCAGGTTCAGGCAGCTGGGCTTCTGTTTGGCTGAGGGTCAGGTGGAGAGGGGGATATATGGCTCCTTCGTCCCTTGCCATGTATGATTTGGAATCACAGTTGCCTCCCCTTCTGCCAGGAATCTCTCCCCCCACCTCCATGGCGGCTGCTTTCAGGCCCTCCTGTGGTCCCCTGCTGGCCCTGCCACAGTGTTGAGGAGGGTGACTGCAGAGAGACCCGTGGGCCTCAGCCGGCTCTGCTCCCCTGTTCAATTTGCCTTCTGTGTTTCTCTCTCCTCCTGTGCGGAGCCCTGGAGGAGAAGGCTGGGCAGATGCCCCCGCTGCGGAGGAGGTGCCGCCTTTCCCTGCAGCTGCACCCCCCACACTTCCTCCCTCAACGAGGGAAGCGCCCAGTGGGGAGACGCAGCCACTGGGGATTCTGCTCAGTGGTCACTGTTGAAAACAGCAGCCAAAGCTCCTCACAGCCCATTGGATACTAAGGAATAAAACCCACTCATTTTCACGGAGGAGAACCTCAACCATGGGCGAGGGACTTTCCCTTAATACTGTGAGGAAACGGCATTTGTGTAGCATCCTCGGGACTGGGGTTTCTGGACAGCTGCCCAGGCCCCCAGCAGCCATGGGCTGCATTTCAGAGTTCAGGCAGGGTGAGTGTACCTGTGTACTGTAGAGTGTGTGCCTGTGTGTGCGTGTGTGTGTGTATGTGTGTGTGTGTGTGTGTGTGTGTGTGTGTGTGTGTGTGTGTAGAGAAAGAAGATCTCTTAGTGAGTTTTAGGACCCTGTTCAAAGACTGTTAACAAAATATCCCCTTAGAGTGCCTGGCAGATCAGGGCACAGAGTGTTGTGAGGAAACACATTATTTGGGAGTCATTCTGAGTGCCCTGTATCCTCACTTGGCATTCTGCAGTGAGGTCCCTGCTGAGTAGACACCCAAGCTGAAGGGCCATGTCTTGAAGCCCCTTGGATAGGGCTCTCTGCCTGGCTGTATTCCTGAGTCCCCTGGGCAGACATTAAGGTGGTCCCTAAAACCCTACAGGGCTCCCTCTCTCCCCAGAGTAGGATGGAGTGATGGATGTTACTTCTGTATCGGTGAATTTTCCAAGAGACCTCTGGAGTAAGGCATGCTTCCCTCGGCTCTATGCCCGGGGAGTGCCACTCAAGGCCAGGGTCATGGGGCTTAGTGTCTGTTCTAAGGGGCTTAGGACTTTGGGCAGAGAATGCTGAGGCTGTGGCTGACCATTAGACGGCCACCCCAAAGGGGGCCCCAGGACATCAGTCTGGATGTGTTCTGGCAGGAGGAAAGGGCAGGACCTCACTCATGAGGTCGTGAGCCCCTTGGATCTTCTGAGGGTTTGAGGTCCTGCTTCACATTCAGTCAAGTGTTGCAATCAAATCACCATGACAACCGAGTTAAGCCAGCATGCGTTTGATGGTGTCCATAATGGTTACAGCTCTGCAGGGCAGTAGGATGAGGAGCTCATGACGTGATGGTGACTGCAGAGTTCAACACAGCAGGCAGGCTGGGGGCAGTCACCAGGAGTCAGCCTGGGAGGCAAGGACCCAGGACCTTAAAGGCTAAGTGTCAAATGCAGAGGAGACTCCTCACCCCCAACCCCAGGGTTGTCCCCACTCTACTGAGGGGTAAGAGAAGGCTCAGTTGCAGAGGACTGGAGCCTCCCAGTGGCAGGCAAAAGCCCATGTCAGCAGCTGCCGTTTTTGTGCTCTTATTACATGGCAGGTGCTGTGCCAAGTGCCATTCCTGCATTCCCATCTTATCCTAATAACAAACTGTTTATTGTTCCTGTTTCACCGACAGAGAGACCTCTCTGGGGGGAGTTAAGTGACTTGCCCAGGATCCTCTAGCTGCCAAGTATTGGAGCCAGAATTCGCAGTCAGGGCTGCCTGGCTTCATGGGTGGTGCTCTCACCATCGTGCGGCACTGCCATGAGCTGCCCTGTCCCTGCTCCACAGGCCACCCCTTGGGCTAGGTATCTGGAGGTCCCCTTCCCCTCCCAGCCTGCTCTGTTCTCAGGTATGGGCAAAGAAGGGCAGGTGATGGACTCCATGGGATACACTTATTTTTCTCCTAGGTCACTATCAGGACAATTCAGGAAATGGGGTTTGGATTTTGGGGGAGAGGATGAGGTAAGAGGTCGGGCCTCAGAGAGGGCAAAGGGGATCTGTGCCTGGAAGGACCCATAAGAGAGAAGGGGAGGGGACAGTGAAATGGGGAGGCCGCGTTCAGGCTGTCTCTGGACCAGCTCTGGCCCCTTCCCTTCCGTGAGCCTCTGAGAGACATTCTGGGATCGCAGATTGCCTTAGGATCCCAATAACCCAGCGCAAGTGAAAGGGTGTGACAGTGAGGAGCACAGCAATGAGGGCAATGCTGGCTCCAGACCCCGCACCAAATCAACTTGGGACGCTCATGAGCCTGTGCCAGGGCGGCCAGCGGCCTCCTCCTCGCCGTCTCCATGGAGGCAGTGCTGCTGCGTGGCCCAGGCCCATCCTGGTGCATATCAGGACCTTCTGTGTGTGTGTGTGATCTGGGAGGCCCCAGGTCCTGAGTGTGTCTGCAGGGACTTTAGTTACGGTCACTGTGGGGAGAAGGGAGAAGAGAAGGTCTCAGTTTTGTTTATTTGTGCTGTAGTGATGAGGGAAGCTCAGGGGACGTCCTGGGTTGTTTATTTCCCCTCATCCCTGTGGTAGGGTCATGCCCATGTGGGGATCCACAAGCCCAGTCCCTGGTGTACAAACCCTTCAGGAAACCCCTGTGAGTGATCGCCAGATCACTTCACACACAGGGGAGGGGAGGGCGGTCCCGATCTTCAGGCCCTTGCTGGGATTGCTGGAGGGGGAGCAATCAGAACTCCCCTCCCCTCAAACAGTTTCTACACTCTTAAGTTAAAGACAGGCAGCCCTAAAGAATTTCAGGGACTTGGCCTATGGTTAAAGTGGTCAGGCCCACAGCTGTGACAAAAATCCCAGGCTTTTAAAGCTTAATATGTTAATTAGCATTTTTGGAAACAGATAGGAAAAAACCAAAATGTTTTTTCCTACTTTCACACACTCAGCCCGGCACAGAGCACTTCACCTTGAGCCACCAAAACGTGTGCAGCTGTCCCCACACGCCAAGCAGTTCTCCTGGGGACCCAGCTGAGTCTCACTGATTCCATCCAGTTCTGACACTGTCTACCTGCAGGCAGTATCGGGCCCCACAGGTTGAGGGCTCAGTTCCACAAGGCTACGCTTACTTCAGATGCCAGTCGCAAGTCCCAGCTTGTGACCTGCACTTCAGACCAACCAGCTATAAATCGGGCTCCCACTGTTCCTTCCTTGGGTTTGATTACTTTTTACAGGATGGTTCAGAACGCAGGGAAACGATTGACTTGCATTTACCCATTTCTTATGAAGAATATTACAA